AACAGAGACGAGATTGTTTATTTTATATTTCATAACTGACTACATGATTGCTTTATGGGCGCCCTCAAGAATTATGTTCTCGATACTAACTATACATTACAACCCATCTTGCTCAACTGGATACCAAAACACCCATTTCTTTACGTCACCTGGTGCAACTGACCGGACCATTTTATACCTCTGGGGGGTCGCGTGACTTTAGTGCTCAGTGGCGTGGCAAGGCCTTCGTTCTGTTACATGATTCATTAGGAATCGCAGAATTGTTTTGGCAACCATCACATTCATCGCATTTACAAGGTTGGCATGTCGTGAACTGGTATTGGGGACATACTTCTGAAAGGAGCTTCTATTTGCCTAGCTTTTCCGGTGCTGTGGGATGACGCGGAGTAAAGCAAAACTCCTTGGTTTTCAATTTCCCTTGGCTGATGGGCCCCTGGAACAGAGGGGGGAAACCATGATCCAAGGTAGCTCCCGCTCGTGGGATCATGTCGCTTTCTTACGGGTTAGGGTTAGAATGTACACGATTCAGATTTCGGTGCGGAGTGAGATGATGTCATTATCAGTGCTGGAGCAACGTGCGCCTGCAGGATGTGTAGGGTACGTACTAGAAGTGACTCAGAGCGGCGTGGTAACCTCACTATCGACGGGAGACACACCTTTGTGCGAGCGAAGGGCCATTACTATAAAACGTGCGCGTGGGTCTTAGATGGAGCGAGCAGCATCGCCTAGGTAATTCGAGCCTGTTTGTTCTTCGACTTGATCTGCATCATGCATGTTTTGTTTCCTGATGGTCCCGGTCATGGTTTGTCATGGGCTTTAGTGTGGGTAAATGAGTTCTATTTCAGGCAGGTCCCGGTGGGTTACTTCGGCAACGACACTTCTGATTGAATCAATCGTTTGGGTTCATATATTAACACCGTTGCTCCCTGCTACTCAGCCCTACAAAGCCTTGAAGCATCTATACACAGGCACGTGTTTGTAGGAGTAACCCCTACCCTTTCGTGGTAGAATTGCCACAACATCGGCGTTAGCAAGATTACTTGCAGCGTAGGACTAACTGGCTACAGACGGATTTTGAAAGGCACTTATCGACAACAAGATTCTTCAAGGTTTAGCCAAGGCTACACGCTCACGGACCCCACGACTGGTCGTACTTTTGTTTGGCTAATTGCAACGTACATCGAATTCGAGACGTCAAATTGATACTATTCACGGAGGAACGCACTTTATTATACATATTTTTGCTTGCTGAGCTTTGGATAACTTAACGCAAATAATTTTTCTGTGGACTTCCGAAAATCTCTTTCATGCTAGCTTTCGCAAGGAAACTCTCTGACAATGGGTATCATGGACCCTTTACACGTACAGACTTATTGCTCATGCAATTTGGGATCCTACCACTTTTGGCGAAATGGCGTGGGAACGCTTTTAACTCAAGGGGGCCGCCCTGGCCAGAGTGAACATTGCTTATTCTACGTGTTTATCCAATGTGGTATACAATCGGTTTACACATCACTTAACCGAACGATCTTTATATTGGAGTTCTTCTTTCTATTAATTCTTTCTGCCTACGCCTTATAAGGGGGTTGGTCTACACCCACAACCGACAATGGAAACCGAGCGTTTCGTGGTTTTAGAAACACCGAATCTCATCTCAACTCATCACATTTGTCGGGACTATTCGGAGTAAGGCTCTGTAGCTGGCAAATGACCATTTAGGTCCATGGTCGTTATTTCCCTGGTTCCAGGGGCGACATACGTTCGATCGGAATAATTTCTTCAGATGTATTACCACATCCCCACAGGATTAGGCCCCCTTTTTATACGTCCAAGTGGAATCTTTATGCTTAAAACTCAATTCAGGACAGTCATTTATTTGGCACCTCCCACATGGATTAGGAACTGCGCATTCTAACCCTTTCCACGGGGGTCCATCCACCAAACCAAACGTTTAATGGCTGACCGATACTGCATCACCCATCCATTCTACGCTATGCACTTATTTTTTCTTCGTTGCCTGGTCATCATGTATAAGAACTACTAACTTCGGGATTGGGCACAGTATAAAAGATCTTTTAGACAGCACATATCCCCCCCGGGTTGGCGATTGGTGGAGTGGACCCCCCCCATTAAAAGGGTTCTTTATGACACAGACCAAGCAATTCCGCTTCACTTTTCAATTATGGCCTTGCTCCTAGCTTCTTTAGGAGTTATTAACTTTCCTTAGTAAAGCTCAACACCATGTACCTCACCTACCCTGCTTATGCGTTCATAGCGCAAGACTTTACTACTCAACGCTATGTTCTATAACTCATCACCAATACACTCGCAGGATTCCATCATAACAGGAGCTTTTGTTCGTGGAGCTACTAGTTTTTCATTAGCACGATACACATCCAAAACAGAATGAACTGTATTGGCAAGAACAGTTAGAACCATAAACGAAGCTATCACTATCCCATTTTACACGCTTGGCTTAGCCTCTTTCTCCGCGATTCCATACTCTTTGGACTTTCATGCTTCACACATGATGTTTTATGCTCTGCTTTTTGGCACTCCAGAGAAACAACCGACATCTTGATCGAACCCATATTTGCCCAACTGGATACCAATCTGCTCACCGGTAAAACTCCATATGATTCGACGTTACTTTTAATCCTTCAACGAACTACGTGCACGCCTCTAATGCAGGTCGACAGCAATGTGGTTGCCCCGGCTGGGTTAAACTGCTGTTAATGACAATATTAATTCATTTATTCTTAATATAGGGGCCTGGACGACTTCTTGGTTCATCATGCTATTGCTCTAGGTTTACATACACCACATTAACCTCTAAGTAAAAAGGTGCTTAGATCACTGTGTTCGAAGTTAATGCCAACGATAAAAAGGACTTTTGGTTAATAGTTTTCCTTGCGATAGTCCACGGACCGCCGACTGGTACTTAATGATATTCTTGGCTTGGGGACGCCAATTTTATTTGGTCGCTCTTCTGATGTCTACATACCATATGGATGGGTTACTTTTACTTGGTATGAAAGCTCATCCACATCTATGGCAAGGAAGTTTACAGTTAATGAATCTTCCCACTTATGTTGAATGGGAATGGTTAAGAGATCTTATCTATGGTTCAACTCTTCACCAACCTTACAATGGATATACACCCTTTTCGGTCATGAATACGCTTATCGATCTGGGTGTGGACATGTTCTTATTTGACATCTCTGTTTGGTCCTACTAACAAGATTGGGGAGGGATTACGCCCACTTTTCTGTAGGTTAATCTGTCACTTAACTGTGGCTTTCTTGATTGCCTCTACATCAGGTAACAATTTGGTTGACTTATTTTTTTTGTGTATCCACGAAAAAACATTTATTCGCTGGATAAGACGCTAATATGTCATAGTGAACAAAAATAACTAAGTTAGCACACTTCTTCCTTTAGGACCGTACTCACCAATGGAGCAAATACTGCCAGAGCCTTTATATAGATGAGATAGTGAACATTCTGCACATGGGGTTCCCCTATTCCATCATTTCAGGTAGAGATCCGAGATTTACTTCCCTAGGTTTTTGAAGAAACGCCACATGAGGCCTCTGGGTACCAAGTTCAATTTTTCAGCACAGCTTTTCAATCCTTCAAATGATGGTCAGTCAGAGTGGGTTATCCAAATTTTGAGAATGTTGAGAACTTGTGTCATTGAGTTTGAAGGGCTAGTTGGGAGAACGTACACTTTGACTTGTGGACACTTCGCCTAAACAATAATCATTATCAGTCGGAGCATTTGGGTGGCTCCTTTTAAAGCTCTACATGGCTAACCGGAGATGTAGCACTCCACTATGTTGGTTAGAGTTTGTGAGGGCAAGATTGACAGGTTCGGATCTTGATTCGGGGATACCAGAGGATAAAGTGTAGAAATTATTCAGACGCATAATATTGACAAGCAGCTTCAGGATTCACTAACAGAAGTCTTATGCAGACCTTGAAGACGGAGAGATATAGAGTATGCCAGTGGGAGGACTAAGATTTTCTAAGGTCAATCTCCGTGGAAACGAATGGTATTGACGATTTGGAAAGAAAAGGGTAACGCTCAGTCTAGGTCCATTAGTCCAATACGAGATCATTGAGCGTGTGGGTCCTATTGGCTTTACACTTCTACCACCAAGACCTAGATAGGAATACAATACATGTCTTAACACGTTGTCTATGTTTGAGGAGGTATCGATCGACCCATCGCATGTGATACTCAGTTAGTTGTGACTATACGACGCCACGAACTTTGACTTATGAAAAGGACACCAGTAAGATACTTGCCAGAGAGAT